TGCGTCTCAGCATTGAGCATTGAGCGTGGTGTTTGGTGGTTGGGAATTGCATACAGATTGATAGTGGGGTCAGACATGGAGTAGCACGGGGCAAAGTGGGGGCCATGGCGTGCTTATAAGTTTTAAATTCTAGCTAAAGCACAACGAGGGGGGCGGGCACCGGTGTACAGAGCCAAATAGAAATAAATAGAGAGACCCTCCCCGCGGCCTCTGGCCAAAAACAATTTTTTGCGCTGCTTTATTTTTTGTTTTTTGTCAGCGGATTTTCGGTTAGTTTTGTGCTGCTGCCGCTGCTGCTGCTGCTGCTGTTGGGTGCAACACGTTTTAAATTGAACGGCTTTTCTCGCTTTCATTCTGCTATTTGTATATGGTTTTTCCTGTTCGGTTTTTTCTGCAATGTGAAAGAATGATTTATGCAGTGGCAGATGTGCAACAGCAGCAGTGGCAGTAACACATTTTAATTGAAATGCACTTAAGGACTTAGGACTGGATGCAGGGACTCGCATTTGCGCTGTAAAACATTTTTAATTACTCGAACATCAAACGGTGGGGTAGTAGGGAAATTTTTGTACAAAAATTCCAACAGATTTGCATATGAAATGAAGTCCGGGGTAACATCAGCAGCAACGTTTGCTTCTATTCCGATTATGCTGATCCCTCGGCAGATCCTTCCTGCTCCTGCTGCTGCCGCTGCCGCTGCTGACAAATGTCGTTGCCAAATTTAACAAGTTCATCATCAAAAAAAAAAAAGGAGAAATAGTAGAAGCAGTGGAGAGCAGCAGAGAAATCATATGCAAGCATGCTACATGGAAAATTTATGACGAGCATAATAAAATAGAGACAAAAAACAATTTAACTTTTGGCCTGCACAACACCACACACAAAAGGGTCAGCATGTCCTGACCATGGGGCAGTCAGCCATGTAAATCCTGCTGCTGCTGCTGCTGTTGCGGAATTTTTGTTAAAAACTGCATAATTCATTTGCAGAATGGCTTTCCTCTGGAAGGAACGAAACGGAACAGGCGACAATCATATCCAAAGCCAGAGCCAAAGCCACAGAAGAGCGATGGCTTTGGCTATGGCTCTCTGGCTTCAGCACTGTCCTTTCGTATATTTCATTTAAAATTTACAAGTTAACAATATTAAATATTAACAGTTATTTATGCATTTTTCGGCACAAATCAGAAATTTACATATGCGAGCAAAAGTTCCTGCTGCCGTTGCTGCCGCTGCTGCCGCTGCTGCTGTTGCAGCTTCGAGATGAATGCCATGATGGATGCCCCACACACAAAATCCTCCATTCCGCTCGACATTTTTGCCCCGTATGCGGGCAGACATTGTATTTATATATGCATACATACACTCCGTATGTATTTGCTACATTTTATTCGGGCATGCAAGACACACACACACACAAACACACAGCGAATGTTGATTTAAATAATTTGCTTTTGGCTTTTGTGAGAGGGAAAACATTTTTGGCATATTATGTGTGTGCTTTGTCCGGTTTTGCCACTCCCCTCCTCGTGCTGTGTGTTGTGTGTTTGCATTGTTTGACTATGCATTTTTGTGTTTATTTGCTCCTTAAACAATATTCATAGTGCCCCTTATGCCACACTGGTCTTTGGAGGGGTTGCTGGTGGGGGGTTGGGTGCAAACAACAAATCAATTTTAATTTATGCAAATTTATTGGCCACAGACTTTGAGAGTTGACTTCTTCTCTGATTCGGAGACTCCAATTCAAAGCGGAAGCTGCTCGACAAAATTGCATAATTTTTCGTACAAATATTTTGCAATAATTTTTGTGGTTTTTGTGCCCTTCCCTCTGACCTAAGACAACAATTTGACTGCTTCGAGCAGAGCTGATTTGTGTGGTGTGGCCATTTAAGGCCCCACCCCCTCCCAGACGAAGGATTCTTCTAATAAGCCTTCAAATATTTACTAATTTTTGGGCAGGGTGCTTGTAGGGGAAGGGGTGTGGGGTGCTGCAAAACTTTTAGACAAATTTTCAGTGTCTATAAAACAAAAACTTTTGCATTAGAGAAGGAGCAGCAGCCAGAGGAGCAGAAGCCGCCGCCGCTGCTCAAATATGCAAATGAGTTGAGACCCGCAAAACTTGCTCCCCCCACCCCCATTGCCTCCTGGCTCTGGCCCTCTAAAGTGCCTACCCTCTCCGCACCTCTACCCGAAAAACAAGGCCGACAACAAAAGCATTAGCCTAAAAACTGCATGGAAGGGACTCCTCTCGGGGCTCTAGCTCTGGCTCTGGTTGCGGCTGCGGCGGCAGTGAGTGCATTTTGAGGGCCTGGGCCCGTGCCTGAGCCTTGCGTGAAACATTTGTTTGCCCAGCCTTCCAGTCCCCTCTCAGTCGAGGAGGAGTGAAGAATAAATGGAGTGTGTGACTGGCAAGTGGCTGGGTCCTGGGTCCTGGCCAAACATCAGGATTACATTTACACAGCATCATCACAGAGTGCGAGGGGTGGGGCGGGGCGGTGATGCTTGGTGCGGGTCGGGGCTCTGGTCAGGGTCTAGATCTAGCTTTTGGTAATACGATGATGTTGCCTTGCCGGTGCCTCGCCTAGTGGGTGTCCTTTCAGTCTGTTAGCCGCGAAAATGCCAACAAATCATTGCCAGGACAACCAGCAGGCAACGTGGCCATCATCCGGAGGCAAGCAGACCGAAAGTCCGACCGAACGACCGACCGACCGACCGAACAACAACATCATCATCATTCAGTCCAGTCTGTGCCTAAGCCGCATTTTGTGGATTCAGATGTTGCACGGCCTGGACAGGGGGCAGGAGCTGCGACCTGCGACCGGGACTGGGGCCGGGGCCGGGGTCGGGGCAAACCTCAACACTAACACAAGCCAACGCGCATGCAACGGCAGTGCGGCATGCAGCACGTCCACTCGCTCTCTGGCTACCTGCAACAAACGAGGTGGTTGGCTGCAAAGTGATTTCTGGTTTAATGTTTTTTAATGTTGCTCATGTTGCAACATACCCAAGAGGAGCTGCTGCTCATCCAGAATGCGGCTGTTGCTGCTGCTGTTGCTGCAACTCCTCCAGTGGCTACTCCAGCAGCTGCTGCTGCCTGCTGCTGTGGCGCCTGCTGTTGACGCTGATGATATTGTTGCTGTCGACAGCAGCGGTTACTTTGGTCAGAGGCAGAGGCTCTCTCTCTCCTCACCCAATGTCCGCCCTGTCGTCAAGTCAAACAGGGGCCATCAGCCAGCAGTGGGTTGGGTGGGTGTGGGATGTTCGTGTCCGTTGCACCTCTGCAAAGACCATGGCTAATTTTTCGCTTTGTGTGGTGGGGCCACTGGAGAGAGTCCATTAGCATTTGACAAAGTTGTCCAGTGGTTTGCTGCTCCCCAATCCCCCATCCCCCCCAAACCCTCTCTCACTCTACCACATTTCCGCTCTGTGTGTTGCGGCTGTGTTGCCGAATTTGACACAACATTTGTCAAACCACAAAATGGCTGCCGCAATGTTACTTTCATTATGCACAAGGGGGTCAGAGGTCGAAACAGAGACAAAACAATGGGGTAGCCAACAACAGCAGCAGCAGCAGCAGCAGCAACAGTGTCACCGGCTGTAAGGATGCCAAACCTTTTAATGACATTTCGAGTGGGCTAGTGGCTGGCTGTGGGCCATTCATCAGAGTGGGCAAAACATCAGACATCTATCTCTGTTCCAAAAATCATAAAATGTTTTCAGTCTCATTAGGAATCAAACATCTATGCCCATCTATGCATATTTCCACACACATACACACACACACACATGCACACACTCACATATGCTGATCTGATCCCATGGCGTAAACACGCGGCGTATGCGTAATGTCATTGCTTGCGGTTGACCAGTGGCAAAAATTGTATTTGCCAAAAATTTGTATAAATGCAATTGTCACAGCAGTGATTTTCCAAGCGGCCCCACGGCCAAACAGAAATTGATGACAGACAGAGGGGAGGGGGGGGGGGGGAGAGACAAACAGACAAACGGCAAACAGACAAACGGCAGGGAGACAGCAGGACAGACAGACCGGACAGGACGAGGGAATCAATTAGTTGTGTGGCAACATATTTGGCAGGGCGCTAAAAGCCTTGACGGATGATGATCGATAAATTAGCGAGAGAATGTCCGAGCCTATGCCTCCTCATGCCTATGGACCTGCCTCCATATCCATTTATGAACTGAGGAAATAATTTATTTATAAAGTTAACGCTTGACCGAACTGCTGCCCAGCAGCCAGCTGCCCTGCCCCCTCTCGGTCTCTCTCTTTCACCCGCTGATAAATATTTAATGATTGTGTTTTTATTTGGCAACAATTAGCAGCTTACGTGTTTTTATTGATTTCCATATGCATATGGATTAGTGAATGTTTTTCCGCAGCCCCTGCCACGTTTTTTATGCCACTCTACTCTTTGTTTAAATATTTACGTCATAAAGTAGGCAATATTTCTATGCAAATACGCTGTCTGCCAGTGTGTGTGTGTGTGTGTGAGGTAATAATTAATAATTTAATTGCTTCTGTTTATCTCTTAATTAAAAGGGATTTATTTGACCATTACACAAATACAAACAAATACACACACAGACAAAAAGAGAGAGAGAGAGTTTTCATATACAAATCGCAAGCACTTTGCTTTTTATCGCTTTTGCTAATTAAGTTCCATAATTAATGGCATTTAATGCGGTTTTGTCCATCAATATACGATACAATAAACATATATACAAACCTATGTGTTTCTCTCTCTCTGTCTCTCTTGAGACATCTTGCCTGCCCTCTGCACACTGCCCCACTCTGTCACCTGCCTCTACCTCTGCCTATGTGGCTGACGACCACAGAAAGTGATTAGGGCATTGCTTAATTAGATTTGATTGCTCAAAAGATTGAGAGAACAAAACCAAATTCCAATAAGCAAACCAATGAAATTCCAAAATCCATGTTGCATGCTAATCAAATTGTCTCTTTTCGTTTTTCGATTTATTTACAGGTGAGTTATCCGCAAGATGATGATCATGTTGTTGATGATGGCCAAATGCCGCTTCAATTAGTAAGTAGAAAGCAGCACACAAATTCCACTTCAATACCACTCCACACACACACACCAACACACACACACACACACAGGGGATGTTGTTGTGTCCTGTGCAGACACGGCGCGCCCTTAAGTATGCTACACTAATTTAATTTCCATAGCATATTTCTGCAGTGCCTTGTCCTCGGTTTCGTCTTTTCTGCCTATTTGGCACAAAAACTTAATTAGCCGCGAAAACAATGGGTCCGAGTCTGGGTCTGGGGTATGGGCCTGGGTCTGGGTCTGGTTGCTTCTTCTGCGCCGGCTAATTTTCATAATTGTTATTATAGAAATTCAGGCAGCCATAAACAAAAGGTTAGTTACTCGCCTAATGACTTGAAGTGCTGCTGCCTACAGGAGGACACTGCCGCTGATAAACATGTAAATGCGCTTATCATCCATGGACGAGGTTGTGGGGGGCGAGGGTCTCAAAGTTTTACCACCTCTCTATCAGTTGATTTGGCGGAGGCGGACAGCAGACCGCGCGCGCGCGCGCCCCCATTCATAACCCGAAAAACTCCACTCAAATGCGAAAATGATAGCCAAACGGAAAAGTTCACAACTTTTCAACTATTTGCTGGAGTAAACCAATTGGGTGGGGAGTTGGGTGTGGGCCGAAGCGGACCGGAGCGGAGCAGCCACCACCTTAAATGGTGGGGCAAACAACCCAGCACTAATTATGCTGTGGCGTTGATTTTTATGTGGACCCCGCAACCCGCCACCCAGCACCGCGCACCCGCAGCCGAAAATTGAAATGGAAGAGCCAGAAACACTAAACGCTTTTAAAGACACATCTTAAAGAGGCGGCGGCACGAACTTTTACGATACAACCAAAGACCACCCCATGTCGCCCCCCGTCTCAGACGTTGAATGTTGTGTATATGTTTGGGTGGGTGGGGAGGGGCGGCACAGTCAGTGGTGGCAACATCCTTCGGCCTACAAAGTTGCACGTTGAACTTTACAACTTTTGCAATACTTTGGCCGCGCCGTTTCAGTTTGTTTGTTTGTTGGTTTGGTCTGGCATGGCCTGGTCGGTGGCACACAACTTTCTGTAGCCATGTCCTGTGTGTGACGACTCCAACCGGACGCCTTTCAATTATTAATGCCACTCTGCCACTGCCACAGAGAGCACCGCTACGCTCCGCCGCTGCTGCTGCTGTGTAGTGTAGTTTAATTAATTAATTTGACAAAAGTTTTCAATTGAACTTGAGAGAGAAAGATCTGCAAGGCAAGAAGTCCAGCTTTAAGGCTTGGAAAGCCTTTAAATATCTGAATAGGAATTTTCCACGAACCAAAAACAAAAGCCCCAAATAGAAAAAAAACAAAATGGAAAATCAAACAATAAATTAATTGTTATTTATATGCGGAAATATTTGTGCCATACAATTCGAAGTATTTTTGATTTGGTTTCTAAGGTTTCTTTTTCTTTGGTCCTTTCTGTGGCATGTGGCATGCGGCCCGGGTGTGTCTGGCATTTGTTTTGCTGCAGCATTATGAATATTTCAGCAATGAACATTTCATTAAGTGGTTTCTGCAGGCAGGTCTGCAGAGGACTCGCTTCGCTTTTGGCCTTTGATCAAATCCACAAACTGCAAGACGTCAACTGCAGCAACACACACGCACACACACACACACACACACACGCACACAATATGCGATTATTTTCTTGAATTTTAGGCCTCGTTCTAAAACGCATTCCTTTAGGAAAAATTTTCTATGCCGATGTAAGATTAAAAATTTAATTAACAAACTGCCCAGAGACCTTTGGCTTTTGCTTTTGGCTTTTCGTTTGTGGCCCCGAACCCACAAACACCTTTTGCAAATCCTCAGCCTAAATCGAAGTTGCAGGCCAAACAACAAAAGGGCCTGCCGCATGACCTCAAAAATGTGTTTATGCCACACTTCCGCTCCTGATGTTGCTGCTGCTGCTGCTGTTGGTTGCCGCTGCTCTGTCCGCGCATGAGTTGGCTATAATTAAAAATGCTATTACTGCCAACTTCATATAAATTTTTAATTAGCAATTTTTGCTATTTTCCTACTTTGTTGTACCTGCCCCACAACCACCCACCCACCATCCAAGCATTGTTGTTGCCGATGTTGCTGCTGGCTGGCTGGGGAACTTTTTAAATTAGCACTTTGTTAAACACCCTGACGAAAAAGGTAGCAGCATGCCACATAAATTGTTTTTTAAAAGGATTTTGTCCATTGCCACCCCCCCCAGCCCAGCGCTCTTTAACAATCCCTTTGGTTTTTGTTTCTTTTTTTTTTTGGTGGCAGAAACGCGTGCCATGGCAGCTGCTCTCACGCATTAAGCTCTGACGTAGCCACAGCCACCAGCAGCAGCAGCAGCAGCAGGAGCATCTGTCATAAATTTTTTAGATAACAACAACAACAAAGCAAGAGACAAAGGGAACAACATGCAACATGCGATATATAAAAAAAAAAAACAAAAAGAAGCAACAGCAGAAGGAGAGTTTTTTGCCCGCAATGGAGGAGCGAGCAAAAGTTGATTAGCTGTGGCAACGGGGGCAAGGATTGAGTCCTGGCTGCCGTAATTATTAGATTTTATGCATGGCCATCAGCAGCAGCAGCAACAGCAGCAGTAGCAGCAGCGGTGTGACTTGACTCTTGGCGTTGCACACACACGCCTCTTGCGGCTGTTTTGTCAAAGCCATAAAGAGAGGCGCAAATATTGACAATTATGGCCTATAATTTTGACACCCATCGGTTGGGGGCCAGCAAGGACACATAATACAGCCAGCACAGCCAAAGGGTTAAACAATTTAAATTAAAATGTGTGCCGCCGCCACACACGTGCCACACACCGTATAGATACTTTATGATTCAGCAGCTTTTGTTGTTTATTTGCACGCACTTTTCATGCATTTTAATTAAAATTAACTTCCATTTTTATTACGCATACGTTTACGAGAGGCAGAGAGGTGGTAAGGGGAGAGGAAGCAGCCTAAGCAGCCCGGCTTTTTCCTACAATTTTTACAATTAAATAAAGATTTTATTATCATATGCCGTTGGCTTTTTAATGTGGCCACATCTTTAGTATCTATGTGTGTGTGCATGCCTCTATGCCTTGTGGGTGTGTGTGCCTGTGTGTGTGTAAATATTTAAGCTGCAAGCAGATACAATTTACTGTAGGTGTCGCGTCGGCATATTTTAAAAGCTTTTTGTTACACGAACGCGTTTACTTAGCCACACAAGCAAAGAGGCAAAGGACAGAGCAACAGAGACACAGAGACACAGAGACACACAGAGAGAGAGAGAGAAAGCATAGATAGACCCTTCCTTCATATACATATGCAAATTTATGTGACATTGTGGCAAGCACGCGCTCACACTGGCTGTGCAGCTTAAGGCTCTCTCTTCCTCTCGCTCTCTTGCCCAAAGGAATTTCCGGTGGCTTTTGTTTTCTAGCTGACGCTGCAGCCCCTCGTATGCCTGTCTGCCCGTCTGCCGTGGCCTTCCCCCCCAAAATGTATGCAAAGCTTTGTTTAAAGTGTCAGACATGTGTATATATACACACACACACACACAGCCACATGTGTGCGGGAGTGTGCGGGCTTGTTGGCAATTTAATGGCCCGCGACCTGCCCTGAGCTGTGAGCCCGCCACCGTTTATGCATATTTAATAGTTGCTATTTTTGCTAAGTGCTTGAAATTATCATCGGGACAGCTGCCGTGAGCAGCAGCAGTCGACAAATCTGTTGCCTAAGCCTTCTAAGAACACTGAACAATTGCCAAGGATTCTAACGCCTGCCTGTCATTATACCAAAGAGATCCATCCGAGCAGCCGAACTAATTAAATATCTGCCACACACAAGTTGCTGCTCGACCTTTTGCTAGGTGTCAAGACAACCACTCGCACCCACTCCCCCCCCCATCCGAAAAGGAGGCACTTTTCTAGGCGTCAAAAGGATGTGGCGGCTGCTGACTGACTCCCTGACAAGTTACACAATTAGCAGGGGAAAACCAGAAAGTTGCTCTCAAACATTTCAATGGATGTGGCTCGACCCCCAAAAATTGTGCCCACAAAAAGTTTTGTTGGCCAACAAAATGCTGTTGTTGCTGTTGTCGCTGCTGCTAATGCCGGTGCCACCGACCCTGGAGCCTGGATCTCCTGAAGGATGCTAATGAATTGCTGTAACTGACTGTTCGTTCGCCTAGATTTATGCCATGAAAATTCAAAGGTAAATAGCAATCCGCTCCACTGAAAAACCCTCACTGACAGCCAGTATAATAGAAGTCCTGACAGACAGCGGGGAGGCGGGGAAAACTTTAATCAAGCGATCCTTTTGTTTGCCGACTCTCTAGGAGGAGACGCCTCCTCCGTGCCATCCGTGCCGTGGCGGGATGAGTTTGAATCAAGTTTGCATCAATTTCAATATTCCCACTGTTTTCATTTAATTTCACCAACTTAAAACTTAATTGTGTGCTTCCTGGGCTGCCGCCTGCTGCCTTTTATCAGGCACCCACCTGGATGCGCCGCAGCTCTCCCTCCGCCTCTTGCTCCGTTTAAATTTGCAAAAATTAAAGCAAGCAGCGCGTTGCAGGGACCCTTCTCAACTCTCCTTCGTTCGCTTGCTCGCAACAGGTTGCCACACAATCTCATTTGGCGGAAACGAGAGGGAGAGGGAGAGGGAGAGCAGAGAGTGAGATTGGAATGCAGCTTGGCTGGATGCCACTGCCACGTCTGCTAGGGGTCCCCGGGTCTTGTAATTTCCCGCACAGCGGAACGACAACGGCAATGATAGTTTCTACAGGGCCCCCCCCGCCGCTTACCCCACTGCCACCAACTTCAGTTATGAATGGCCATTGGAGGAGGTGATGCTGCTGCTACTGCTGCTGTTTGGAAAAACATGGCAGGCGGCGACCTACCCCCAGCTTCATCATTTAAAAGCGCATTAAAAACTTTTTAGATTAATTTCCACTGCTGCTGCTGCTGCGTTTTTATTTTATATTTT